CGCTTTTCCCATCTCGTCTTACCAATTAATTGGGTATATCGGGCAGTTAGTTTTATATATACTGGCAAGATCAACATGGGGAAAGGTCTACATAGTCGCTCTGTCACCATTGGCGGCGAGGCGTTTACATCCTCGTGGTCAATATCAACGTCAGCGAAGGCAGACGTCCAAAGGGCGAAGCCTCAGCGAAGGCTGGCGTCCAAAGGTCGCGACGTTTCTGTCTACCATGCACCTAAACCTGTTTATACCGCTGTACCTCAAATACCTTCATTTGACCAGACACGCTCGATGATAACATGGTCGCGATTTGGCGGACACGATGACAGCTAATTTTAATTGTTGTCCGAAACAGCAGTTTTCTGTGACTACTTCATGTGCGAAATGTTCGAGGGTCCTCAACATGTTTGAAGAGATTGGTTCTCAATCTTGAGGTTTCGTGAGTTCCAAGCTTTTTTTGTCGGGAATCAAATGCTCCTCTTGTCCGAGCAGCACATCCAGGCAATACCTACGTGCAAGCCCTTTTCACGCTTGCATGATATATTCGTATCAGGTCAGCATAACACTGGCACTTAAGTCGTTTCCACATCTGAAACGCACAAAAGATGGGACGGTTAAGGGTGAAACCTGCTGCTTGTGGTCAGGCCTACCAAAATGACATGTTGGTCGATGACCTTCGCTGGGAAGTCCTTATTTCGTCATCGTTTACAAATTTGTTATTTGATTTTTGTGGATTTGACCCCGCGGGACCAAATCATAATGTACCGCAAACGTTACAGTACGATTAAATTCAAGATTATGAAACAAAAAGCCATCCGTAGCAAAACATCTTTTTTCTTTGCGGTCAGCCTTGATCACAAACAATGGTTTTGCTCCCGTTAATTTACTTAACAAACTAGGTCCCTGTCCCTGTAACGAAAGACAACATAAAGGGTTACTCTGTCCCCATGATCTTGCTTTCCCCGCTCGCTGGAAAGCTTTCCGCGCCAGCCGTATCTGCTGTCCTTGATGACGTCACGCTCAGGCCCCACACAGGGCGGTCACGGACCGGGCCGGCCCGGATGGCCGGCGGTGCCGCTGCCTCTGCATGTGCCGGGCGAGGGTCATCGCCCTGCACGGCGGCCATGCTCTGTGAATAAGTACCCACCCGTTACATAACAGCTGCATGCAAGCTGGCGCAGCTTAGCCCGAAGACAGAGCCGATCCTGGCAGACAGAGCATTAGCCTGGGGGTGGGGCTGATATGCCTCTCTATAGACTTTTTCTTTCCAGTCAACATTCCAAGGGCCAATTATATTGCTCAGAAGTGTGGGGGGATCAGCCCGTTTCACTCGTAGTACCCCCTGGTTCCGCGCCCCTGGTTTGGGTGGCTGTGGGTGGAGATGGTGGACCAGCTGCGGTGATGGTTGTGGCGGTGGCTGTGATTATGTCAGTGTTAATCTGAGCCAAAGGGTCTGGAGCTCAGCAGCGGCGGTACTCTAGCTTCTCCGCATGGCTGATATCACCGTGCTAGTCAACATTTGATCATGAGCAATATTTGGGAAGGGGGTTTGTGTCTGAGACAGGAACCATACTTGCCAACCTATTGTGTTCAATTCGGATTGTGAGGTCAAGCAAAAATTGACAGCTGTGCATGACTCACGCGATGTACAAACATGCCCCCAGATCATAGTATATATGGGCTTTGTGCATTCTCTACTCTATTCTTTGTTCGTGCATGTGATTTGGTTCGTAGGTAAGTAAACCAACTAGGCGCCTGAAAAGGCTAAATGAAAGAAACGAAAAAAGCTAGGCGTACACACCAAATTCCATTAAAAACTAGTCTCTACCAAGATTTGATAAACTTCTACATCAACGTTGGAGTCTCCAGACCCCCGCCCCCCCCCCAAAAAAAAAACTTTGCCACTATGCGACACATGTTCCACAACGCAATGTTAGTTGTTAGAAGGGGAAGTCGGTGCATGCCTTAGCTGGGACACCAAAACTAGCTCCGAAAATGTACCCAGGGCCGCTTTTTTATAGCTTTACCGTTCTTTAACGTTAGCAGCCTTCACTTCCACCGCTGGATCGGACAGCGCACTACCTGAATCCGGCAAAGAACATACCGACACACGGCCGTGGTAGCCGAGCGCACCCGTCAGTGCCACTGACGCCACGCCGCGGATTGGAACTGAACTCAGTAAAATGTATGCATATATATATATATATATATATATATATATATATATCTCTCTCTCTCTCTCTCTCTCTCTCTCTCTCTCTCTCTCTCTCTCCCCTCTCTCTCTCTCTCTCTATCTATCTATCTATCTATCTATCTATCTATCTATCTATCTATCTATCTATCTATCTATCTATCATCTATCTATCATCTATCTATCTATCTATCTATCTATCTATCTATCTATCTATCTATCTATCTATCTATCTATCTATCTACCTACCTATCTATCTATCTATCTATCTATCTATCTATCTATCTATCTATCTATCTATCTATCTATCTATCTATCTATCTATCTATCTATCTATCTATCTGTCTATCTATCTATCTATCTATCTATCTATCTATCTATCTATCTATCTATCTATCTATCTATCTATATATCAATCTATCAATCTATATATATATATATATAATTCTTTATATGTTAAGATAAATTTATTTTATCATAACCATAATTACATTCGCTGCACTTCTAAAGAGCCAGAATACTCCTATTATTTATCCAATACGTTTGAATCAGATTCATCCCTGACCCATACACCCTCAGAGTAATCGACTCCACCCTGACTTAAAGCAAATTTGGCTGATTCCAGATCCCACTGCGACACCATCCGGGCTGAAGCAAATGACTGGTTGACGATGCTGGAGGAATGTGGCGGCCGAATGGTACAACTCGTGCATCGTCAACCAGTCATTTGCTTCAGCCCGGATGGTGTCGCAGTGGGATCTGGAATCAGCCAAATTTGCTTTGAGTCGGGGCGGAGTCGATTCCTTCCGCCGGGTCTCCATCCACAGCCGCCATCACGGCTGGCCGGGTCTCCATCCACTGCCGCCACCACAGTTGGCCGGGTCTCCATCCACAGACGCCACCACAGCTGACCCGATTTTCTTTCACAGTCGCCACCACAGCTGGCCGGGTCTCCATCCACTGCCGCCATCACAGCTGGCCGGGTCTCCATCCACAGTCGTCACCACAGCTGACCCGATCTCCTTTCACAGTCGCCACCACAGCTGGCTGGGTCTCTAAGCACAGTCGCCACAACAGCTGACCCGATCTCCTTTCACAGCCGCCATCACAGCTGGCGGGTCTCCATCCACAGTCGCCACCACAGATGACCCGATCTCCTTTCACAGTCGCCACCGCAGCTGACCGGGTCTCCATCCACAGCCGCCATCACAGCTGGCCGGGTCTCCATCCACAGTCGCCACCACAGCTGACCCGATCTTAATCCACAACCGCCACCACAGCTTTGGACAATCAGGCCATTGGGGTGTGGCTAAACATGGAAGGAAACGTACCCCTTTATTATGGCGAAGGCATTTTCCGATAATGGAAGAAAACTAGCCACTTTGTTATGGCGAAGGTATTTTCCAAAAAAGGCAGTTCGAATGCTTTTCTTCCAACTGTCTTACTACTGTCTTACAACTGTCTTCACTTGACTGATCTACAACATTGTTCAGTCAAGACTAACCTAACCTAACCATGGGTTGGCTGACCCAACTGCTGGGCCATGGCACCGGTTGATTCTGAAATATCAATTATATTATTAGTCATGGGCGTGTATTTGGCAGGAACTTAAAGAACACAGGGACGAGGCATATCGGTAGGCACTTACCTATGTCCTCGCTCTGCCTCTTGTTAACCTTTTTTCCCAGGGAACGAAAAGTTCAGGTATACAAATCCGTCCCCTTTATTTCTTGCTCCATAGGTCTGCTGTGGGCCTCCAACAACATTTGGATGAAAAGCACCACTTCACAAATCCACACGCACGCCGAAAACGGGGAGGCTCGCCAGCCGTCTTCGAGCCGTTGTATGCGACTTCACAACGCATAGTTTGGTTGAGGGAAGTTTTTTGCACCTAACTTTTTGCATCTTAAGCAGCATAGGTTACTTGTAGGAAAATTGAAACATACTGTGTTGATCAGCATGATTCTCCCGTCGATTGGATGTAACTAGCCACAATGTCCAAGTACAAGTATGATGCCGCTCTGTCCGGGGTCCCAGTCGGACTTAGCGCCCACAGATCCACAGCCCACAACGTGCAAGTTGCAGCTGTTGCAATTTGGTGTTCCATTATGCTGCTCTGCCCCGGGTTCAAGTCGGAATTAACCCGCAACCCACAACGTGAAAGTTGCCCATCATGGTACTTCGTCTGGGGTCCGAGTCGAGATTATCTGCATGTGCCGTGGGCATGTGCTGAGGCTAACTGGATTCCTAGTGGCGGAAACAAGCACAACTCTGTGCTTAGCTTTTGTGGAACGTTATTTCCTCTCGTGTATGTCAGCGTACCGTTAAGTTTGGAGAAGCCTGTCCATAGAGCATCTAAATACCACCCAGCCTGTCGGCTGGCATCAGTGCGCCGCAGTCGGTGCGCAGGTGCTGGTAAGTTTCCAGGCGCACATGTCGGCTTTTCACGGTCTCATGTAACCGATCTGTGCTCGCCGCGGTTTTGAGGTCGCGTGCGTGCGTCTGTCTGCTGCAATAACATGTTGTTCCAACTAGTCATGGTGTTGCCGTCAACAGCGAGGCCTCTGTTGGTTCAGTACATACGCGTCGTTTGCGGTGCAGAGCGTAGGGACGAAGTGGCTAGGACGCTGGGCTTTAGGTCGCGGGGACGGGGGGCAGTTCCCGGTGCAGAAGGTTTTCATGCGCCCAGTTCTCACCGTGGTTTGGCGGCTCTCATGCCTTTCATAACCACGTGACCAGCGCTGCCAAACAGCGCGCTGGGCGTGGCCGGGGCGCGCCTGACCTGCTGGCTGACTGGTCCCCGTTGCTGCAGTGGATGCTGACGCCAGCTCGGACTGCTGGCCGTGGTGCCGGCCCCGTCTCGGTGATAAAGGCAGCAATGTTCCAGAAGGTGAGGGAGCGCCGCGGACAGAGCAGACCTGCGGCTGTAGCCGGGGGGGGGGGGGGGGGGGGGGGGGTGACGGGCTGGGCTGGGCTGGGCCGACGGAGGGCGACGGCCTTTGGCGCCTCTTACGTACCGTAGTTTTGCAGTGCTGTTGTTATTTGTGGCTGTTGTAGTTTGCATGCAACCTTTCAGTATTGGAAATAATTCTGAGGCCAATGACACGCGCTCGGGTGGGGTGATTTCACCCCTGAGTTTTTTCCCGAATAACTAGTGTACGGTGCGGCGCAGCAGCATCAAACTTTGTTAAGCTGTAGCCAGCGGTGCAGTCGATCTTTTGTATGCGGATTAGAGCTACCTCGTCAGGCTGCTGACACATAGCAGGTCAAAGTCAGGCTACAGTTGTCAGCGACGGCATTTGCATTTGCTGACAGGTATTTGTCAAGCTGATGCGACAGCGGAATGTTAGTCAGTGCAATGTAATTTTGAGGTGATTCCTTAGACCACCGGGCCATCGAAATCAGGATTACGACTTATTCCATCGGCCTTGGGTCAAATATGAACGACGGAACATGGTCAAAATAAAACCACTTTTTTAAAGTTTTTATGGGGTAGTTTTTGGCGTTCAGTTCCAATTCGTTGGTCACAAGTACGTCGACCCATCCATGCTTTTAACTTCAATGAAGGCCAGGGGAGGTTACTGACCTAAAATAACCGGAATCAACCGGTCACTTTCAGGAACATGTCGTCCAGGGTAGTTCTTAACACTGATTATAGATTCATGTATCAAAATGATTTCGGAGAATTTTGGACATTTTCACTTTTTAAAGATCAGATAAGTTTACTCGCCTGATAGTAGCGCAAGTGACCTTTTGCTTGGGAAGGGTATTGAGGCACAAGCTTGTTGCGTGGAGAGGTTAAATGGCACTTCGGACACCAGTTTAACTTCGTTTGACTTTATTTGTACTGAAGGTAACGACCTAGTGACTTGAAAATTGACTAAAACGAGTTCAGATATAGCCCTATCTGCCAATTAATTTGGTGTCTTTCTCTCTCTGATTTTTTAGACCTCAACAGGTTCAAAGTAACCCCACCCGAGCGTGTCGCGTCCAGCCGGCCGCCCTCTTGCATGCTTATGCCCACGGCCTGAAAACGACGCTATTGTTAGCAGGCATTGGTACATCAAGGAAGCAAACAAAAGTGGTGGTTATTGCGAAAATGGCGTGCATGGGAACCATGAATTAGGTAGTTATCTGCACGGAACATAATTTGCATGCATTCGCCTCTACGAGCATCGCTTTTACAGCCTGCCGTTGCGCTGCTGGGTGGGAAGTGAGCTGGAAAAGAATGTCCCCTCTTTACGCCCGATACGAAGGTCACGAAGCGAACCGTTCCGTCTGACCTTGGGCAGATCACTGCCACAGACAGCGGGATGTCGGCCTCAACCGCAAGGCCACCAAGCAGCTGCTGATCGCCACCAGCCTCTGCTTCTGCTTCATGATCACCGAGGCCGTGGGTGAGCCGACAGCGCCAGCTCGCGGCTCCTCTGCCACCGTGCGTCTGACCTTGAACCCCTCAGTGGTGATCAGATCACGCTGCCGGCAGTTGTGGAGAGTCTGGGAACATGCTCAGTCAGGGGGGGGGGGGGGGGAGTTCTGCGCCGTTCGTAGAGGGCATTCACTTTAGCGCTTTTTCATAGCGATGCCCAACGGTAGGTTCAGATCACCAAGACTCGTTGTACAGACTTAACATAATAAGGCTGTGTTTTTCCATATTGTATCCTTCGTGCCCCTCTCCCCGTAGTAAATCATGTAAGTCTCCACTCCGCCTACGGTTCGAACCCTCGCAGTGAATGGTATAAGTCTCCACCTTCGCCTGCGGTCCCAGTCTCCACCTTCGCCTGCGGTCCCAGTCTCCACCTTCGCCTGCGGTCCCAGTCTCCACCTTCGCCTGCAGTCCCCATTCTCCCCATCCGTCTGCAGTCCCCATTCTCCACCTCCGTCTGCAGTCCCCAGTCTCCACCTAAGCCTGCAGTCGCCAGTCTCCACCTCCGCCTGCAGTCCCCATTCTGCACCTCCGTCTGCAGTCCCCATTCTCCACCTCCGTCTGCAGTCCCCATTCTCCACCCCCACCTGCAGTTCCCAGTCTCCACCTCCGCCTGCAGTCCCCATTCTCCACCTCCGCCTACAGTACCCAGTCTCCACGGCCGCCTGCAGTCCGGAATGTCTAGCATAGTGATGCTTTGTACAAATAGAAGAAACGTAAGGAGCACTTGTGCGCATGCTTGCCACGCATATTACACGGGGATTCGCACCACGTAGAACTCACCCCGGCATTATGAGCACCTGTTTCACTAGAACACACCTTGACACATGTTAGAACGATTTCGTCGTGGTTTGTGTGTTTTATTTGTTTATTTTTTATAGAAATATTTTGGTTATTTTTTTGGTTGTATCACATGGCCTATGACTTGAGTCCGGGCTATTTATCGGCTGTTTCAGCATTCGAAGGCCGGTGTAAGCACACCAGGGTCCTTCTATGTCCCGTATCAGTAAACACTGTGGAGATTGTATCGATTATACACAACGTCAGCACTGGTGGGTTTAACACGTGGCTCCAGTGGTGGGCACGGGAGGGGGACGAGGGGATGGAAGCCTTCAAACGCGGCCCTGTCTGTGAAGAAAACCATGCATGCTGGACGATGTCGATCCGGTCGCTACGCTACCGGCTGGCCACCAATCGAACAATCTCATGGATTGAGCTGGGTTGGTGGTGTCCCACACCGCCGTCCTAGAGCTGTAAATGGTGTCGATCTCCGTTGTTGGCCCGCAGTCAAGATGCCCTAGACGTCCGCTAGCGTCATTGCGTGCTCGTAGGTGATACCCTTGCTTCGCACGCTCGCCTGTTTGACCAAAACTATCACACTGTTCTTGTGGGTTTGTATTGCTCCTGCCTTGCCAACGCTTGGCCGTTACGGTAACATCATCGCGCGGCCTTCACGCCGCTCCCACGGCCTCTCCCACCACGTTGGCCTGACCTGCGTCTGGCTGCGCGGCACAGGCGGGTACATCTCCAACAGCATCGCCGTGCTGACGGACGCGGCGCATCTCTGCACCGACCTGTTCGCCTTCATCGTGTCGCTCAGCGCTCTGGCCGTGGCTGCGCGCGCTCCCAGCGTCCGCATGAGCTTCGGCTGGAAGCGTGCAGGTACGGCGCCAGTCTGAGGCCGCCGCGCTGGGCTGGTCGGTTCCGTTTGTGACCCCGTACCGTTTAGAGTGAGGCTTCTGAGACGCCTCCTGGTGTCCTCACGTCACGTCACGTCACGTCACGTCGCGTCACGTCACGTCACGTCACGTCACGTCACGTCACGTCACGTCACGTCACGTCACCTCATCTCACCCCACCTCACTCACCAGACCTCGCCTTACCTCGCCTCACCAGACCTCACCTCACATCGCCTCACCTCACCTCACCTCAGCAGACATCACCTCATCAGACCTCACCTCACCAGACCTCACCTCACCTCACCTCACCTCACCTCACCTCACCTCACATCACATCACCTCGCCTCACCTCACCTCATCAGACCTCACCTCACCTCGCCTCACCTCACCTTGCCTCATCTCACCAGACCTCATCCGTCGCTGCGCTCTCAACGTGGCGTTGGAGCTTCAGCAGCTTGTTTGAGGTCAAGCTGCAGTCCAATCCGCCATGTCGTGATCCGTCATTTGATTGTCGGGCCTTTGTATTGGCTTGGCTACCTTGTCTAGCTATGTGATACGTTGCATCATGGGCACAGTCATGTCCAATCGTCATTTTCCTCTCTTGATTTGATGGCATGAGAAAGTAATGTAGCTTTTCCCTCCAGATGTGACGGCTGAAATTGTATAACTGAGCTAGATAAAAGACGATATATGAGTGGTGGCAGAAATTGGGTCTAAATGAAGGTAGCCTTCCTCTATCCCCAACGTATGGGGTGTTCGTGCCCTGGGCGCTCCGTGAAATTAAAAAAAAAACTCCACTAGAACACTGCAGTACTGATAGAGAAGTTAGCCCCAAATGTTGCTTCTGAGCCAGTCAAGCCACCACACGTCCGTCTGCACCAAGGACAGCTGTAATACCCAACATGAGTGCTCCTACGCACTTGGATTAAAGTGGTGTCTGATCTGCTGAGAGCAGCGATAGCAGAGGAGTGTCGCCAACTAACAAGCAGTCCTCGTCACCGAAACCACTGGCTTCACACGTGGTCTTCGAATGTAGGTGTGGGGCCCTTGTCTTGTCGTTTTTTGTGGGCTATGTTTTGCAGTGCTATATCGTGATGTCTGTTTGTCATCATTTGTTTTATGACTGATCGCACCTCACCTTTAGTGATAGCAAAAAACGAAAAGCTTCAATCTAAGTTTTCCTCGGCACAAATAGTGTTTTGCGCTCAGCCGAGGATACTATCTGCACTCGTGCCTTCGTTCCCGGATGCTAAGCACAACTATTGATGACGCAGTGAACCTCAGCTGGATCGGTGGGTTCAAATCGCGCATATTACGGGACATTTTACTGACTTCATCTCCTCAACCGGAGCGGAACGTGCAACGCCAACCGCCTGTCGGTTGTGTGCGTCGATAAATCACCTATCAAAACTCCAGTTGCTCTCCCCCGCGGCCTATCACTTCGGATTGGCAGCGCAGTGTTCTCACGGCATGCCCCTCCCCCCTTCGTGCCTGGCAGAGGTGATGGGCGCCATGATTTCGGTTCTGCTTATCTGGGTGATCACGGCCGTCCTGGTCCAACTGGCCGTCAACCGGCTGCTGAATCCCAACTACCAGATCAACGCGCCCGTCATGGTCGGCACCAGCGTGGCCGGCATCGTCATCAACATCATGTACGGCTTCACGGTCGCGCGGGAGATCTTCCCTGGCGGTGCTGTGCTGCCCTCTTCGCTGGCTGCTTTAGCGCCTCAGGCAGGGTTGCCATGTCATGGAACTGTTCAGAGCTCTGCAGCTCCTGTATTTCGACGGGCGGATCGGTCAGAGTGTCAAAGGGATGGACATCACAAGTGTACCAATGTCCTGTAATATCCACGCCATGCACAGACTTTGCCCGATTTTTCAGCATGGGCTGCGCGCTGAACCAGGACTCGGTGGGATCTGACGAGAACGTCAACATCAACGTGCGCGCCGCCTTCATCCACGTGCTGGGTGACCTCATCCAGTCAATTGGGGTCTTCGTGGCTGCCATCATCATCTACATCCGGGTGGGTGTTCGGACCCTTGGTCAATATTCCACCTGGATGTCCTGATGCCCGCTTTGCCTGGTAGGCGGACATTTGGATATCTGGCCTGTCAATGCTTGGAAGTCTGCTCCGTTTCGTCTCTTGTCGCGCTTGTGCCGTCCAATATGGGGTGTTCTGACGCATGCCCCGCGTGGCTTGTGGGTGTCTTTCACGGTCCGTTTCACGGTTGGATGCGTGTACGGCCGCCACCGGGCGTGGCTCCGCCAGACACCGTCTGCCCGGCTGTGTGGCGCTGGCGGCTTATTTATACTTGGGTTCTCCCACACTGGATGGAGCCTTGTGCTTGTTGCGGCGGGCGGTAGAGCTGCGTGAGAGGTGCAGCAAGTGGATAGTGGATCGTGAGATGCGGATATGAGGGACGTATCAAGTGGATAGTGGATCGTGAGATGCGGATATGAGGGACGTATCAAGTGGATAGTGGATCGTGAGATGCGGATATGAGGGACGTATCAAGTGACACGAGGGATCGACGAAGTTACACGGCGGTATGCGTGTAAGGCGCTGGTGATCGTGCAAAGATGGAGCGATGGGATTCACTGTTGGTGACTGAACAGTAGAGTTTTACATGACATCGATGATGTTCCGCTCAGCACAGGTTACTGGGCTCGATGTCTGCAAAACCTGACCACGAGGTGGCCATTCTTCTTGCTTTGTTGGAAAGGACAGAGAAAACGCAGGGCCTGAGACAATTTGGCATTGTTTTGCTCTGTGGCTTGCAGCTTGCAAATCAGATGGGTTGCATGATAAAGAATGTTCAACGAGTGGGATATCGTATAATCTTTGTGTGGTTTACATATTGAAGTGTTTGTTTTACGTAGGCGACGAACAGCATTCATCTGGGGATGTATACTGAAAAGCCTTTGTGAATTTTGTGCGTACCATCAGTTCCTCCATTTCGATGCAAAGTCATTCTGTCATCTCTAGGAGGTTAACAATCATGATATTACGCATGACACGCTGGACGTATTTTACTCGTGAAGTAATTTTGAAACGCACCGCGCCACAGGCTCAATGCGGGCTTGCAGTGATCGTTTTCTCCGTTTGCTTGTCAGCCCGATAAGGCGGCGCAGTTGTGGTTCTCGTACCGCGTGGCACTAACCACGGTGTCAGGCACTGCGCTCCGCTCCGACGCTTCTCTGCAGCCAGCCACGCGAGCCATATCTGGTTAGCACACGATGCACGGTTTAGGGGCGCACGGCCAACATAATTGGGGTGAGGCGCCACACAGTTGTTTTTGAATTATTGAGGCCATTCTTTTCGTGTATCGCCACGGGCATAATGTGAAACTTGAAAGTGTCACGGAGCTAGTCACAGAATATACAGAGTGTGGCAACTGAGAATTGTCTTCAGAAAAAACATGTATTCCACCCGTAATTGGTGATTGGCTCACCTCTGTTTCGCTTCGTTGTTCTGTTGGTTTCGATTTACCTTCAGTTGATTTCATGCTTTAGGTGTGTCTGACCTCCGCGGAGTTGCACTCCTCAGCACCCATCCTTGCTGGTCATATCAACCCACCGCGCACCGAGACATGACTTGTATGTGAGAGCAATCTTATCAATGTGAAGTGCCGTCTCCAGCGCCCTGCGAACGCCACGGAAAGCATGCCCCTCTCGCGGCCCTTGTGGGGCCATGAACCATATCTGGCGACCCGAAGATCAGATACTGCTGTGTTCAACGAGCGTGCTGATCCCACGCATGACACAGCACGGCGCCGTGCAAGGTCACTGCTGCGGGCGCTCGGTCCGGTTGCAATCAGGGGCCGCCGGCGCCGAGACCGCGCCGAGCTGGGCTTGGCCCTGCACCGGCGCCACCTGGCTCGGCCTGGCGGCCGTGGGATGCCGGAGCAATCCCGACGCCCGAGCCCGCAACGGCTCGTCATTGGACGGCCGGCCGGCCCTATCTCCACTCCCTGGCAGCCGTGCCGCCAAAAACTGGTTGTGGTCAACATCGCAAACAGGCCGCACGTGGTCGACATTGCGCAGGGGCCACATCATCAGAATCTCAGGAAGAGGTCGGGACAGGAAGAGAGGCTCGCGCGGAGCGAAGGAGGGGGGACAGGAACGAGAAGGAAGCGGGACGACCGGAACCCAGTCAATACCCTCCCGCTTCTCTCACGTCGGGATGCTCCTGCGCTCTCTCTTAGATCTCCTCTTGGAGAAGGACGCGAGAATGGGCTATAGAGTCGAGAGGCGGCTCTTCTCTCGAGCTGGCGAAGAGCTAGAGCTCTCGCTATCTCGCGACTCTCTAGCGGCTCGCGCATCGAGAGCTCGCTCATCGCGGTCGGGCGCGAGAGCGGCGCTACGACATCGCGGAGCTCGGCGCGCGGCGAGCGAGGTCGAATCGCGGCGAGGATCGAGGAGTCGAGGAGAGAGAGGCCGGACTGGAGAGATAGCGAGACGAGAGGATGGGCGGGAGAGAGGCAGCAGACGAGAGCGGATCTACGCTCGAGGAGAGCAAGAGCGCAGCGAGCGAGCTATCCTCTTTCTCTCTCTTTCTCTTCTCTCTCGCTCTCTATCTGCCTATCTCTCTCTCTCTCTCTCTATCTCTCTCTCTATCTCTCTCCTCTCTCTCTCTCTCTCTTCTCTCCTCTCTCCTCCTCTCTCTCCTCTCTCTCTCTCTCTCTCTCTCTCTCTCTCTCTCTCTCTCTCTCTCTCTCTCTCTCTCTCTCTCTCTCTCTCTCTCTCTCTCTCTCTCTCTCTCTCTCTCTCTCTCTCTCTCTCTCTCTCTCTCTCTCTCTCTCTCTCTCTCTCTCTCTCTCTCTCTCTCTCTCTCTCTCTCTCTCTCCTTCTCTCTCTCTCTCTCCTCTCTCTCCTCTCTCTCTCTCTCTCTCTCTCTCTCTCTCTCTCTCTCTCTCTCTCTCTCTCTCTCTCTCTCTCTCTCTCTCTCTCTCTCTCTCTCTCTCTCTCTCTCTCTCTCTCTCTCTCTCTCTCTCTCTCTCCTCCTCTCTCTCTCTCTCTCTCTCTCTCTCCTCTCTCCGCCGACGCGTCGTCCGCTTGATTACTGAAGTAGCCTAGTTTAGCTCACAGTTCAATCAACGACAACGACGAACGCAGCGATTCATGCCGTCGAACTATGCGAGAAGCACGTTATATGCTCCTGCGTGCTTGTACTAGAGCTCCACTTCGCCTTTTCTAGACAAACATGCTGGATCGTTTGAACAGAGTCACAAAGTTTCGACCAATGTGAGCGAAGATATTCGTCTTCATAGACATGTATTATTCACTCTGTATACGTTGTCATCAAAGTTGGTTTCCAGCTAGACCAGCTGGCTACCCCGGTCGACGGCCTCCCCGTAGGAGGCGGACTGGCTGACTCGGCCAGCAGGCCGCGGCGAGGGTGGAGAGCTGTGGAAAAGGCATTCGCATCTATTTGAAACGTAGATTTTAGATACATAAATGCGCTTTACAAACCGGTCGTGAATCAGTTTAGCTACCTTAAGAATTTCTTACGGCAGGTCAAGTTATTACAGAAGTTGTATTTTTATACGTGCTCTTAAACGATGTTGTCTATTACGTGTAACTAAAGCACCGACGCAGGAACCTTAATCGTAACGAAATATCCGTAGATACAGCTAAGAGGGTCTGTCAAGTTTTAGAAAACTGGCCGCTGAGAGGGGAACCAACCATGTTGCCAGCAAGGTCAGCGACGCGCCTGCCAGCATAAACAAGATGGCAGGCAGATATGGCTCGAGGACAGACTCGCTATCATTCAGATGTCAATACCGGCAATGTATTTATCTGGCCGGGGCTTTATCGCGTGTCGACGGTGTGTTGAACACTGTACAACGATTATGGATGAGAGGACTAGACATGGGCTCAAGCTAGACGTGAGGATTTGCTGCAATTTCGCTATCATAATGCTTTGGTGTATGGATCAGATTCGGATTTTGACTCGATATGATGGTTTGATTCGAGTCTTTTCATCGAAGTCTCAAAATTTGAATGCCACGCAATGAACTTGTATGAACTAAATTCATTTCTCAATTCGTTTCACGAATAGATGCATGTACGCTGTAAGAACGCAAACATTCGACCGGGAAGCACCCTTGCCGCTTTTTTACAGGCCTCTCTGGTATACGGCTCGTTGAGCCAAAACCAAGGCAGCTGGAATGATACAGACAACAGAAGCTTAAAGCCCAATGATCTGTGACTGATAAAAGGCGTTAGATGTCTTTGCTCTTACACATATTTGGTGGTGCAAGAGCAAAGACATTGTAAAGACATTACAAAGACTTTGTAAGAACGAAGAGGGTAATATGAGTAAAAACTGAAAAATCATCATTATTTCGCTCACCCCGTATAAAATAAGGCGTCTCACTGCGGTGGGGCCCATGGATATAGCCAGGGATAGGAATGGGGGGAGGGGGTGCTTCAGAGACATGCCTTCTCTCTTACCCTGGGGCAAGCGGTTTACGCCAGGAGGTACTGAGCGATTTCGCAGGAAGTTGTCGAACACCTGCTGGCATTGGGAGCATATTTGAAATTTACCCCTCTCTGAGGAAAAATATGGCTACGTGCTTAATGAGACGCCCTAGCTGTCTGCATACACCCTGCTGCACTGTGCTGTATGCATCCCTGAAGTGCTTATATAAATACACATGCAGGGTTGGCTCTTATGATGTCACTTGACTGACCTGACCTGACCTGGCAGGGCAACCCTTTTGCGCCCGTGACGTGCCGCTCCGTGTGATGACGTGCCTCCATGTCTCACCGGCAGCCGGACTGGATCATTGCCGACCCCATCTGCACCTTTATCTTCTCCGTGATCGTCTTCGCCACTACGCTGGGCGTACTGAAGGACACCGTGCGGGTTCTGCTGGCCGGTAGGTGACAGCCGTCGCCAGGATTCAGAGGCTGGGAAGCGGGATGCGAGCTGAGCGATCGACACTCTCCGGGCAGGGCCTTCCCCACCCCGATTTTCCTTTAAGCCACGCTTCACGCTGGCTGCAGGCACGCATTTCGGACCGCAATTTTCTACGACAGCATCATTTTTTTTAGAGGACAGGGAAATGTTGTCATTGGCTTCCACAAGAGCACAATTGGAGATATGAATAGCTAGTCATTCTGAAAGGTAAAACAGGCGCCTGTAGCGTTGAGTGCGGCTTCCAGAGGTGCTTTGCATGATATCATTGTACTATCGCCGTCAATGTACACCGGTATTTTACTTAGAGCATCACCGCAACCATTGTGACACCCATAAAATGCATTTGTCTTTGACATCTCAACGAGCTCGGATTTTCGGCAATGATACATTCCGTAAAATGCACTGTTTTGCTCTTCTCGTATATCCTCGTACGTATAAACGCCTGGAGCCCTTCAAAATGAGCACACTGCAGAATTTCATATCGCTTCAATGTCTTTGACATCTCAACAACATCTCTCAAAGTAAACATGCACACTAAGAGAGAGCCTCGTAGTCGTTTCGGGTTTTGCGACTACGTTACGCGAGTCTGGATGCATCCGTTTTTTCGTAGCAGTGGCCAAAAAGTGATATCGAAACGGGACGGAGACGTTCAAAGGGTCGTCGTGGAGAATACTGCTATGTCTTGATGACAAACGTCTGTCATTGGTAAGCGTTTTGGGTCAACTGGCAGTAAGTTATTGATGTAATTGCTTAGAATTCCTCCCAATATCCACACCGTCAATGCCGAAGCCTGACACGTGAAAGCACATCAATTTTAGCGCTCCATTTCCTCGCCGTCCATTCTTCACCGCACAGTTCCCCATATTGACTTACTCCCACCAAAAAAAACTCCCGGGACGTTTATCGAGCGGAAGGGGCTTAATTGGAAGACGGGACAATACTGGTGGTGGGAAGCTGCTTTGCTGCCACCTTATTTGTGAGTGCCTATGTCGGCATTTGGCAACACCTGTTGTCATTTCACCGTACTTACCCTTGTTTCAATCTGTCTGAGAGCTTAGATAAGGCAGTAGTCATAGTTTTATTCCCCGGAGAAAAAAAAAACAGGAGAATGAAGATATAGATGATTTGATATTTCGGTAACATGGCTTTATCGAAAGAATAGCAGATGTGGCGGGTTTGAAATAAAATCCTAGCGTGTCGAAATGTCAAACTCAATAAGCTCGGACTGTTTGTACTAGAATCCGATAGGCTCGGCGGGTTTTAAAAAAATCCGGGCTTATCCAATGAGCTCTATTGTTTCGATAAATACATTTTGCCGAAATATCACCCATTTATATTTCTATTAGCCTGATTTTTCTCCGAGGAATAAGGGTATTACGTCTGTCACATCTATGTGAATAATGCTCCTCCTAATTGCACTGAACAACTTACGTGTATGAGAGCTTTATTATGTTTTTCAGAGTCTTAAATAATTGACACGCATTTTAAAGGGAGTGTCTCACGCCTGTATGAGCGTGTTAACTGAAATAGCCATCTTTAACATAATTCGGTGAAATTCACAGCTGTGTCCTTAAGACCTTAACCCCTCTAGTTCCTGATCTACACGCCCGCCAAAATGTGCGCACTATTTCGGGGAGACTATTTCAATGTCACCCAGGCACCCATGGCGCCATGAATGCGTCATACAAATCTTGCCATTTAGTTGACCATGGGGCGATCAATGCCAAGAATAAGGTAATCCTCGAATGGTTAATATCTGGCGTTCGTGAGCACGATTTCTAGACATAACAGCCGTGAATTGGCTCTCAATCAATGTTGTGCAATGTACGATGACGCCGTCAAGCAATGACATAATGAGGAGCATATTAACTAAACAGAGAAATTGCGTTTAGAACTGTCTTTTCCTATTAAAAGCATACCAAAAGCTATTGGTGAGCCTATTTCAGCATATCCGATGCTTCCTTCAATATCTTCGTATGTGGATCATTCCCTCTCACGGCAAATAACATTTTTGATATGCTACCGTTATCAAAAGTTCCTGGACCAAAGGCTGGCTTCTGTCTCGGTATTCTAACGCGCAATGTTGGGGTGTTGAGCATTCACAGTCTTGCATTGTGAGGCACGTTTGTCTGCCTTCTAATTTCAATTAATTTTTTCTGACTTACTTAAGCCGGTAGCTGAGCACATTTCGTATGTTTTTGTCCTTTTTTGTGAACCCCGTGTATGAGGCTACTTTTCAACCGCATGATGCAACTGCTTAAATCTGATTCACGCTTTATTGTTAAATTCGCTTGATATGAACGAAATGTTCGGACTTTTTGCATAATGCCTTTGTCTCGCAGGGACCATAACGACTAAGAAAGAATCATCTTCGTATCCTCCTCCGCCCTGTTGTTCTTCTTTCTCGGCCCCCTCTGCCTTACTCTGACTTCTCCGTGGGTTATGCCGAAGAGTCCGCCGGCTAATTCATGGGGGCTGCAGTACAATGGCCAATCCTCGTTAAGCTAACAATTTTATCGTTTATCTGATGACTCCGAGGCTCATACCCAAGCACTAAACTCCAAGCGTATACCCTGCAACTTACCAGGCTGTTATGCGTTTTTTTATTTTGTTTATTTATTTCGTTTGACCGCCATCAGGGCAGCACTCTGCTAACATGCCACGTCGTGTAGATACAAACAATAAATACACAGCATACAGTAGCGTGAACATTTAATGAAGATGTATATGTGTATCGCAGTTAATTGAAGATGCTACAGAGTTACAACATACTTGATCGCTTGAACTTCTAAAATGACAAGACTAACTATCATTACATTTATCCGCACTAGTGCTGTCAGCTAAAAAGTGCTTCTAACGCTTGGCAGCCTGCAAAACAGGCCGCTCTGTACTGTCCGTACACAAGCGCGAAGTACAGCGAGTAGAGTTCGGATGTAAATGTTCGAGTCATTCGGGTCGATCGAGGCGGCGCAACCAAGGGGAAACGGCTGAGCAAGACTTGAGGGTCCAGTGTACATTGGAAGATATTTCTCGGAGAGAGAAAATCGTGCTGTGCTCTTTGTGCTACTGGGGATGGGGTTTTGAAATGAAACAGATGGCTGTCGTGAGACGGTGAACCTGTTTGCCGGGAGATTGTGCGAGTAAGCAACCCAATAAGAAACTTGTGCTTCACTTGATCGACCTGCACTTCGTGGGCATTGGCCGTCCCCGTCCAGACCACGCTGCAATATGCTTAAACCGATCACACGTTTAAAACATAAGCAGTCATCACTTGGAAGGACTGAATAAGCAGACCAAGTGCTCCATTGCCGCTACGGACCATGCCAGAGACATGAGAAGCGAAAGTTAACTTGGTATGCAGTGTAACGCCTAGGTCCCCAGTTTTACACGCATGTTCAAGCTTGATTCTATCGATAAGAACTTGGTCTGGACGGGAGCGTGCCTCATGGTCATGGTGAACGTTTTACATTTTACAGCGTTGAGGGTGAACCCGCACCTTACCCACCACGCTACCAGATAATCGAAATCATTTTGCAACACCAGGCGTACATCATCAGTACGCAACAGACAGCGGGGTTCAGTGACGCACGGAAGATCGTTACTAGACAGCGAAAAAAGGAGGGGCCAAGAGTAATGCTTCCATGACTTCGGTGGTCATCAGTCTCGTATTGAAAGTTTATCCGTTGACGATAACCATCTGGCGTCTGTCGGACAGATACAAGACAAATAATTATAGTCTAGATCCCCTCAAATGGTATGTTTTAGCTGGTGGATCGGAAGCTCACGGTTAATGCTCTGAAAAACAGCTGAATAATCAGTGCAAATGGCAGCCGTCTGGTATCCGTTCGACATGGTCTCTCAAGCCGATGTCAGCTAAACACAAACTCGTGCTGTACGATCGCCCAGGAATAAAACCAGTCCTATGATTGCACAACACAGGCGAGACGCGGCGAAACAGCTCATTTTGCGCAACCCGTACCATTATCTTTCCGAATTTGACGACTCCTTTTTATTCGCCCTTGTTGAGAATTGGCATGATGTTTGCCTGCTTCCACCTCCGGGGAAAACACCGGGACTCACCGAGAGGTCACAAATGTTCGTGAGCGGAGCAACGAGCCCGTCCGCGCACTCGGTGATAATGCGGGCACCGACACTGCCAGTCCCACAGACCTTTTTGGGACCAACCATAGTTATTCGTGTCGCATGACTGCGTCAGACTTGCAGCTGGCTCAGTAACTCGACTGGGCAGCACGGCGCATCTGGAGAGTTTTGCACACGGACATCAACAAATTTCAGAGCGAATGCGTCGTTCAACACGGCAGCGCGAGCCATGCCATCCAACACGAGAGTCCACTCAGAGCTATACAAGGCTGGTGATACCCTTGACTTCTTCGTGACACATTTCGAAAACGACCAATGCCGCTTGGGGTTGGTCTTGAAGTCGTGGGCGAGTTAATATAAATGTTGAGAGTACTTGGGCTTGAACAAGACTTAAAACCACGTCTTCTGTCCGCAAACTCAGGGGCAGTGGGCTCCGGAGGACCACCATGGGGACGTGGTCAGCAATGGCCGACTCAAGCAGTGTGTAGAGGGTGTCCACTGCTTAATCAACTCCGACGTCATCCAGCAGCCCCCACGGGATCAGGAATATACTCCAGCGCAGACCCTCAAAGTCAGCCATCTTATGGCTGAACACAATGCGCTGATTGACCACAGACCGCCTGTTTACCGCCACACTGAGGGTGGCAATGGTCTTTTTGTGATCTGAGTTTGTAAGACCGTCTTGCACATCGACCCGTGACGGTATGCGTCGTAGCTGTGCTAGGTCCAGAAGGTTCTCTCCTCCAGTGGGCTGGCAGACCCGCCGTCTCAGACCCAGCAAGTTGCACATGTCGACGAATCTCGCTGGCACGGTTCGATGCTCTCCTCAGGTCGGGAGCGGCACCACCGGCCGCCGGTGGCCAGTGCATTTCAGGAAGGCTGAAATCTCTGATGACGACGGTTCTGCAGTTCAGCGGTTGCACTGCTGACAGGGCAGCAGCTATTCGGTCCACTGCAGCGCCGTCATCGTGGGGACGGAATCCCACACCAGCATACCTGGTTCCGCCGAGATCGCCGGCAATTCGCAATTGTTATGAGCCGCTTCATCAACGTCGTACGTGCCTGACGTCCACAGCTTTCAGACCCTCCCCATCCCTTCGTCAATTGTCGCACAATTGATGTGCTCTGACGTCACTAGTTATTATGCTTCTCCGATCAGTTCCCGGACGTCAGAGATCGAGCGGTAACGTCACTGGTGCCATCCTACTCCCCTGACCAGTCCCAGCTATGAGAGCTGTGACTGTGATGCCTCTGGTGTCCTTGTCTGCTGCAGTCCCCAGTCTTCGGATCCGCGGCCACTGCCGCTCTCCTGTCCGCTGACGACTCATGGACTGTATGTGACGTGACGTCATTGGTGCTCTCCTGACCCCATTTTCCCGTCGACTTATGACACGAGCTCCGACCATTGAGGTGCCGTCATAGATGCACACCAATGGGCAACGCCTTTCGGCACAAGAAGAATCAGGTGATTCAACCTTTTAAAAACACATAGCGCGCAGGAATTGCGCACCTGAATATTATTTGAATAATAATGATTGGCAAGTGATCTGTGGTTCATGGCATTCATTATCGATATCACTTTTGGCATGAGATCGACACCTGACTATTTGTTGGCAGACAACACTGTCAACAGCAGCATCGACTGTTGTTATGCGTCGCCATGTCAGCACCGACGAATTCCTTGTAAACAAACGCACTTGATTCGCCTGTTGGCAGAGTTGGGAACAGGCTTGGGCCGTGACGTCATATATAAGGAATGGGTTCACCCTGAAGTGAGGAACGGGCTTCCATGGACTACTGAAGATCGGGCCTCTGGCCCACATAACAGTCGCCGGCATGCTATGACGTCACTGTTTCTCCCCTGGTTCGCTGACCAGTCCCCGCTCGTCAGACTCTCAGCCACTGGCACCCTCATGGTCCGCCGACCAGTGTTTAACCGTATGTGCCGTCAGCAACGTCTTCCTGGCTGGCGGACCAGTCAGCGGTCGGTCTCTGCGCGCCCGCTGACCAGTCAACGGCCGGTCTCTGCGCTCCCGCCGAACAGTCAGCGGCCGGTTCCTGCGCGCCCGCTGACCAGTCAGCGGCCGGTCTCTGTGCTCCCGCTGACCAGTCAGCGGCCGGCTGCAGTGTCACTGGAGCTCTCCTGGCTTGGAGGCCAGGCCAGCTGTCGGCCTTCACTCACATCACTGTTCCTCTCCGGCAGCGACGCCGTCGGAGCTGGACCTGTCCGAGATCACATCCAGCCTGCTCAGCATCCCCCAAGTGGTCGGCATCCACGGCCTGCATGCCTGGGCGCTCAGCATGGACTCCAATGCTGTCATGGTCCATGTGGAAGTCAGTGAGTTCACTCCGAGTATGGCTGGATGAAGAACATCCGAGGCTGAGACCGTTCTCGTGGTAACGCACCACCGTTTTGTGTGGCCTCTTGTTTGATTGGGACAGGGTGCTGTGCACTTAAAATGTTTAGTTTTTTTGTTGTTTGTGTCTGACCTTAAGATATATTTTTCCTTGAGTCACACTCACGTGCTGTTGATATCAGCAGTTCAGAGATCAAAAGTGGAGTTAAATCACCGTTAATGAAAACCTTTTTGTTTTAGAATACCAGGACGACCACGGAAAGGTGGTCGAACGGGCCACCGACATGCTCAGGAACAAGTTCAAATTTTACGAGATCTGCGTACAAGTTGAGCCATACAAGGTCGGCATGGACAGCTGCGACATCTGCAACGAAAACAAGGGCCTTGTGACGCGCTCGGGCTTCACCGCCATCTGAAGCTGCCAAGCCGGGGCCTGCACTGTGTCTGCACCAGGGCAGAGATGCCTTCCGCCACGGATCTTCTAGATATCTCCGCCTCATCCATGCCGCAGGGCACTGGAGCGCTCTTGTTTGAAGCTGAACCGTTTCCGTTCGCGTGCCGTATTTGGTAAGGGATAACTGGTGAGAATCCACCAAATGTTATTTCCCATTCCATATATCACCAAATTCCCACGTTAAAGGAGAGCGGGGAAGCGCCGCATGTGGCTAAACTGACGCCACCAGGGCAGGGATGAGGAGGGGTGGAGGAGTGCGTGAGGTGTCTATGTATGGGTCGGCAGAGCATAGTCGGCAGCATAGTCTAGGTCGGCAGAGCAGGCAGGCGGGACGGAGATGGCACATCACCAAACGTCTGAAGTGGAAGAAGAGAACGAAAAGCATTGGCGTGACGACGGGGTTGCAGAGATTAGCTTGAGAGAGCGAGTAGCAGGATAAAGACCGTTCATTTTCCCCGTCCACGGTGCTTTACGCCCTGTTGAATGCGGCAGAGTGCGATCATGGCTCTGGAAAATATTGGGTGCTTTTAACAGCTTGCTTTTCCACGTCATAATCCCTAGATTTCCTTTGCGGATATTTCCCAGTGTTCTATCGGGATGCCATGTCGCCACGAACGATCGTGTATGCCGTGCTCGTACTATGTTGCCTGTGCAATGTGTTCAGAGTCGAGTCAGTCGCATGGGTGCACCGGTGTAGGGGATTGAATGGCGACCGCATGGGTACACCGGTGTAGGGGATTGAATGGCGACGGGAAGCGCCAAGTGCAACGACTTTTAGGTCGACTCCATTGTTAATGCCAATTAACCGTTATACTCTGCTTGCAATATTACACATTTTTACATTAATCTTGGAGACATATTTCCATTGTGTCCGTATGCATGCTGCGGGGTTTCGAGGAAGACGCGTTATAATCATGATTCTAGAAACAGAAAGAATGCATCTTTCACGAGGAGCGTTGAGTGTCAGCGATGTCAGTTGCATGCTTAGATTTTAGTGCATCGACACCAGTAACTTTGTCTTGAATGTGTAAGGTGTACGGCAGAAAAACAGCATTTTGCCCGGGTGATCCCAGCTATGTTTAAAATGGGAGTAGTGGATCTTTCCACAACAAAGCTGTTGATTTATACTCCAGCGAGCTTTTGTATGTGGAGTGGTGTGCCATGACATTTATGATGCGCTTGTTTGCGTGCTCAACGGTTTACCGTCAGGTTTCAAATGTCGGCAGGAGGCATATAGTTCGGCAAAAAATTGCTCGTTATGAAGCATGTGCTGCTATTAATGCGGTAGTCACGCGATGCGTTCTGTTTCCAGGTGCAGCTTTTCCTCCTTCCCCTTGACGTGCATGCCAGAATGTAGACGTGAAAGCCTACCCATGTATGTTCCCTGTTCAGGAGTGAAATCAAACGCTACTGATTAATTATCAATTGAGTTTGTCTCCAGCAGTATTGGTGTGTATGACTTGCAACGTCCGGAGCGTGATGTGATGTGATGTGATGTGATGACGTGATGACTCCAACGTGATGACGCACCCCGGGTGTGTCGGGGACATGTTCTGGACCAAATAAACCACCGGAGATGATCACACTGTCAGTATTTTGGTCCGGAGCTGCTTAACGGTGAGCGACCAACGGCCCGCTGGGCGTGATATTGTGGGTAACCTGTGTCACAGAAGTTGTTGCCCTCAGAAAATACATACTTGTGGCGTTATGTGGGATGTCATGTGATCGTCTAAAGGGAATAAATCCTGACCTAAATTCTCAAGCCGGGGTAGTCATGCAGGATGTCATGATTTTTGCTACCAAATAGGTGTTTGATGACAACCGAGTGGAATTTTCAAGGGGCTTTTAATAGGGTGGGTTCCCCTGACTCTCTTTCGCTTCCTTTACTGATTCTTGCAAGGGTATTCAAACTTCGCCGACGGCGTTTTTCAAACTTCGTGCCTACATGGCGTCGCAGGCGGTGTCATTTGGCGGACGTAATGACAGGTGATGCAGCGTGTCTGGCTTGCTGCAGTGTGTGTGTGGCGTGTGAGTCACAATCACATTCTTTTATACGTGCTTCAGCGGTCTTGAACGATGGTGTACCCAGCTGGAGGCGAGGGGGTGCCACGACGGTGGATGTGCAGAATATACGGAGGTTAACGTCCAGCTCAGCCGGCGGAGTATGGTACGGTCGCGTCGCGCGCACGGCGTCGGCGGGCGGATGGTGATGGGCCCCCCCCCCCCCCCCCCCCCAGTGGTCACCGCGACCCTGGCGCGTGGGTCTGGGTGCTCACCTTCAAGGTCGCGTCAACGCCGAGCCGAAGGATGGGCGGCGCGATCGTGGCGCGCCACGGACCACCGCTTGGCAACAGCAGCACGCAGACCGCTGGGGTGGGCACATGACGCCCACGAACCGGCCGGAGGCCATCCAAGGGGACTCGGAGTGCGCCGTTTAACCAACGAACCGTGAGATGGCCCTTTGGCCGCCGTTTCACGAAACCGTGATCTGTGTGTTACGTAAAAGACCTTCAGGGGTATCGCGGGAGGGGGGGGGGGGGGGGGGGGGGAGGGAGAAGAAACCCACATTTGAAAGGGAGAGGGACCCCAGGATTTCTCCTGAGACCACTCTTCAATTCTTTTGGCACTGAGGTTGACATGGTTTGGGGCGTTGAGGTTGACGTGTAATTGGGTATGTGTGAGGGGAGAGGGGATGACAGAGATACAAAGGCCCAACCACCGGTTCACAAGGTACAGGCAACAAACGCCGCTAGCATGTTTGCTGTTAACATGTACTCTGCGCCGCTGATGGCGTAGGGTTTCGGATTTTCGGTACAGGGTGGAGGCTTTCAGAGTAAAAAAGCGGCAGGCCCCATGCAATCATGAGCTTGGTTCATGGCCCATAATTCTGATTTTCTCACTGCATATGTTACAGAACGTATGGTGAGGAACTTCAATTTGTAAATGAAGGAAGCAAAAAAGAAAAGAGGTCCTTCTTTTACCGAAAAAGGGTTTCTAATCATACAATGACCGTACATTTTAAGCTTCCGTTCGATTATCATATCACGACAGCATACATCGCTCGTAAGATTTACAGCCGGTCTAAGCCATTATTGCATGGTGTAGAAATTACACAAACTGTTCTGAGTTTAGTGCAAAGAGAGATAGTCACATAAGTATATGTATATTCATCTTGAAACCAAGGCGCATTTTGATCATAATCTGCGACTTTCATTTATAATTAGGAATGACACTTGAAACCAATACAGAGTATAGTATACTAGAAACTCGTGACAGGAATCTGCGAAATTCCAAGAATAATTTATGTTTTACCAATGGATTGGCGACCAATGGTAGGCCGATTTAAAAAGAATAAGCGTATTACATATGCTTATGCTTATGCAAAATTAGCAATTCGCAGGAAACGCAATGCGCCCTTTTCAAGTAGGACTAAATTCGCAAAAATAACACCATGTAATTGCTGACTTCGCTTGGCACATGCACCATTTCCGTCGTCAAATGTATCATAATTGTTCCAAAATACCACCACCGCTACCGCACCGCGGCTAGATTTTGAACTTCATGATGGGCTCCATATTTTGGCCAGTTGTTTTTTTGAAGCAGTTCCTGGATAGATTCTGACTAGTGGTTCTGGATGGTGAGAAGTGGTCCAAACAATTATATATGTTTTTGGAACCGAGATTGCGTCGAGTGCTGCTTTTATCATACTACCGGCGCAATATGATTACAAACCATTATAACGGCAACTGCATGCGAGTTCCCCGCCGCTGGCATGCCCTTCCGGTGCTGGCCCTTGACCAACCACACGAGCCGTACAGGATCCGCGTGGAAGACGTGAAGCTCGGTGTTCGGTGCACACCGCGAAGTACCTGTGGAATGCATGTGCTGAAGTGGTGCGCGGTCGGCTGCCGCTCTCGGAACCCTCGCCGCCGGGGCCGGGGCGTGCCGCCGCGCGGTCGCGATGGCGCCTCCGCCCCACGCCGGTTCGGATCGCCGCCGGGTGTCAGTTGTCCGGCGTCGGCTGCAGGCGCCGTCGGATAGCGTGGAGGCCGCAGTTGGGGGGTAAGCGTGAAACGGTACATAAGTGGACGTGGTCAGAGTCAAATCGTTTCCCTACATGCTATTGTGGCTGGGTGCCGAAGGGCCGGGAAGTTATGATGTGGAGAGAGGGATGTGAGAAAGTGGTAGACGAAGCGCATCCGAGAGAGAGAGAGAGAGAGAGAGAGAGAGAGACGAAGGAGAGGAGATAGGAGAGAGAGAAGCGATGAGAGGGAGAGAGAGAGAGGAGAGAGAGGGAGAGGGAGAGAGAGAGGGAGAGAAAGAGAGAGAAGAGAGAGAGAGAGAAAGAGAGAGAGAGAGGGAGAGAGAGAGGGAGAAAGCGAAAAAGAGAGGAGGGGATGCGCCGGGCGCAACTGCATCATCAGACACAAGATCCATGGATTATGACGAAACCAAAAGTATTGTGGAATGGGTAGAGCAGGCCACGCTGCTGTGCGGTTTGCGCGGCGCGCCCCTCATTACAGTGCTGCCGGCCCGGCGGACCTGTGGTGCGTTTGCTGTTTGGCCTCCGATGCCCGACGTCGGTAGTCTCGCCTTTCAAGTGTGAAAGAGCGACTTTTAACAACCTTTGCCCTGGATCCATTTACATCGCCAAGTCAGCTGAGCCGTGGTGGCCGTGGTATGTGGGGACAGGGAGGGGCCGTGAGAAATGCAATGGACTATTAAACGTGGGTGGCGAGAAGGTGGCCACAGTTGTATGATGAGAAAAACATGGGCAGGTCCGCGACCTAATTCCCCCCGTGGCGGTGTCTTTACCTTTGAAAGGTCTAGGTCAGGTCAACTGGTCCAGGAACGGCATCTCAGTGCCCAGGAAAAAGCGCGAAATGTTTGCTTTTCCCTAAAAGCTGGTTCTAGCACCGGCACCGACTTCGGTCCGCACCTGATTCTGTAGGCACGTCTAAGACACGGCAAGATATATTAAGAGATGACGTGAAGATTGAAAAGCGCCAACCAATGAGCACTTGAAACGTTACGCATGACACGAGTCTCACTGTTGTTAGTCTCACGGTTTCCTTCAGGGACACCCAAACAGTGTTGCCTGGTGAAAGTTGTCTTATTGTATGCTGATGTACGCTGATAATTCTAGCTATCATTGTTATTTCTTGTCATGGCATGTTACAAACGTGAACGGATTTAAAACCATCGCAGTCACGTCAAGGCGCGTTAAACCACTGCGTACACTGCCATCTGTCGTGCAAAATGATCACCATTAGTTCGCATGAAGCCGCCTGTGGTAAGCACAGTTACCATCTGCTTGTGGGCGCGTTCGTTACGGCAGATAATCTCGGAAAATTGTCGGGAATGTTGGAAAACTTTCTGGAATGCTGTCCTGCACAGCCAGCATGGAAAGTGATCCCAGATAATTTTCTGTACTGAAGGAGAATCCCGGATTTTTTTTCAGAGCATGGTCAAGACGGAAAATCCTTGTTTTTGCTACGCATTGCAATGGATGACTAACCCACATTGGCAACTTCACCCAAAATTCATTGTTACGTGAGACCACGCTGAGGCAGCGCCACCTATGAGCCAGCTTTTCACAAGGGAGGAGATAGGGTTTGTGAGCTGCCCGCATAGCAGCATTACGTGACTGTTAGGGTAGAAATTGTACATCTACATCAAAATGTTCATCATCAATTTTGACACATTTCTTCACACCCTTCCCTTGTAGGTCAGTTATTTGCCGCAACGCTGACGACCTTGATGGCGAGTTTTTGGCTCCACAGAAATGGGTTATTAATATGACTCTACTTTTAGGTATTGCCAGCTTAAGATACTTCCGTAGTCTTTTGAATAGATGATCAAATGTGTGAAATTGGTGAGAAATTAAACAGACCATCAAGCTTAGGCTATAACCAATCACCTTACGTCTCGAGAGTTTCTCAACGCAATGCTTTAAATGCCATACCGAAATCCGAATTCCCTTTCATTTAACCACTACAGACCATTAATCACTAATTACCACTTCAATCCTTACAGAAAGTCTTAATTATGCAAGCACATGATTATTTTTAATCAGGTATCTCATCTGTCACGAATAATAGCAATCCGTTTCCCACAGCTATTTGCACCATTGGCGATTGATGACGTTGCAACGTCAATACGATTATATGCATTGTTTACACGTGCATCACCACGTGCACGAGACAGGCGACCGGTCAGCGCAGACGCATATACACGCGACAATGAACAAAGTAAGCGTAGACAATACACGCAACAAACACTGTTGGAAGAGGTGGGCACGATACGACATGTGAGCGACAGCGCAACTCGGGGTGGGGGATCAAATGCTCCCTGTGAAATACCAGTGTCCAGTCTGATGGCTAATAATAGTCGCGACATCATAGTCTATTTTTCGTATTCTTGCCACTCAGCTTTACCTCGCCGGTCGTGACACCACAGCACCAGTAAATGAGAGGGCGCACCACAGCTTCTAGCATTACTTCCAACGCCTTCTGCTCACAAACAGAACGGGTTAGAACCCCGTGCTAACTGCTTGCCAGGGCACCGCTGAGGAATTTGG